GACGTTGGCGGTTAGAATGCGTGGTACCGCACCATGTCTGACAGTCGAATCAAACTCAAACCGACGCGCTGAGTAACCGGCATGAAACACCAATCGCTGCCCGATTTGCCCAACATAACTCTAAGATCTCGATCACGAGTATATCAGACCTCCATTCATCAAACCGATGACGTTTTCTTCAGAACATCATCGCCCGGCCTTACCGAACCTTGTGAATTGTTCACTCGCGGAAGCGAAAGCCTCGGACTACCTTGAGCTGACCAGTGACGATGATTGACTTGCATCACTTGCAGCCCTCGCTGCTGCAATAGCCGTGATCGTGTTACGCAGTCCTGTTCCACTATGTTGGTTCCTCAATGCCGACGGAGAGTCTGGCATACGCAGGCTGTTGATAGAACTGTTCCTGCTCTGAAGCTCCGGTCGCATGCTTCCGATCGAATTTTCGCGGAATGCCGTAATAACACTTGAGCTTGACCCACGGCGACTGTCCTGAGGCCTGGCATAGACCGACTGGATGCTCGAAGCGGAATCTGCTCGACGGCTACGACCCAAGGATTGGACAGGGCTGGGAATCTTTGAATGCTTGCCCAAGTCCGCACCCAGAGTTTGGGACGATGAAGTCGATCTGATTGATCGCGTATCAAGCGCCGGGCGCCCAGTACGCATGAGAAGGGGGGTGTCTGAATCATCAGAACCACTCTCATTGGCCTCTCCATCAAGCGCTTTCAATTCCTCCGTGAGTGCTTCAAGCTGGTCAGCCCCAGGCTCGAAAGAGAACTGTCGGCGATGCTTTTGGGTTGTGTTGAGTTGGGGCTGCGACTGGAATTTTCGGAGGGTATGCCGCGGCGCAAGGCCTTGGTCGAAATACTCGTACGTTCCATTGTCAGAGCTGGTTTTTTGACGTGGGGTCTGGGTATCATTCTCTTCGACATGTGCTGTCAACTTCTCTGCCGATCTAGTCTGCGAGAACAGCATCATGAGACCATGATTGAAGCTGTTCACCTCTAGACCTCGACGTCTTGCGACAAGTGTACCGAGTGCCCGAAGAGCGATAAGAGCTTCGCATTCGGTAGCTGGCTCCATGCCGGTGTGCTCCAGAATCGTCATCTCGTCAGGCAAAGGGTCGCCAGATCCTCCTGAGAAGCCAGAAGCGACAGAACTAGTGAAAGATCGAGAGGGCCTCGTCTTCTGAATGGCAACGAGATTGAGCTCGCTCTGGACTTTGCGCGACAATGTAAGATTCTTGGTGGTTTGCGGTGGGTTCCCCACAGGTAACTCTTCCATGTCGTTGGTGAACTGCGTGGACAGGACGGCCATCTTTCCAGAGGGTGACGACGGCCGGTTCAGAAGCGCTGTAAAAAGTTAGCTAACATACACACGACGTGTGAGTTGGTTTGGTTCTGAAAAATGCATAAAGCAAACGTATTCCGCTGCCACCACGACAGTATACCGAGAATGTCTTCGCGGTACTATCGGCGGTAGAGTGGTCACGCGAGAGAATTATATATGCGGCAACGAGAAGTACACAGTACGCCTAAAGACTCACCTCTCTGACTCATTAACTTGATCTCCTGGTCAAGTTGCGCGTGTGAGAAGAAGTCGTATTTCGGCGGGAAGCTGTCGTGCGAGATGGTCTTGCTATGACGCCGCACAATACTGTCTTGACGAGCCTGTATGAGTCTTCTTTCTGTTAGTAGAGGAAGAGCAAAAGATTGAACACTACCTAGGTACTCACCCAGTCATGCCACTGGCCCCACGAGCTATGAGTAACTCTAAGCGCCGTATCTCCGCCCCATAACGATCTCTTGAGCGTGTCCAGTGCTCTTCGGCCTTTCTCCAATCATTGAGTGTCTCCTCCAGCATTGTACTGAGACACTCCTTCTGCTCTCGTACCTTGCGATAGTCCTCAAACACACGGAAGAGGCCGCTGTTATGCTCCATCGGTATCGGCCAAGAAGCTGTTATCATATGCGATCGGACAGATGTTACGACGTCGAGCGGGTCTATGTAGGTCTGGAAGGGCGCTGGTGCATCTTCACCCCATGGCGCAGAAAACGCGAACTCGGGCTCTTTGGCTGTCTCTTTGAAATTGGCGAAGAGCGACGTGTAGCGAGCGAGCTTGGGCTTCGAGTCTCGACGTAGGGCTGGGGTATCTGAACGTTCGCTTGGTGCGTCATCTGCGTCTTCGGCGATAGGCGTGGTGTGCGCACCGCCTACAGGAGTCTGTGGTCTGCTGCTCTGCCGCGTCTTCCGCCAGGTAAGTTGAAGCCGACGGTCGCTCGAATCATCGGTGCCTACAGGAGTGTCGACGTCAATCTTGAGCGGGGTAGATGTTCTCGGAGGCTTCTTTGGCTGCTTGCTGTGTCCCAAGCGCCAGCTTTTGTTGTCGGGCATATTCTCGTCGTCGTCCTTTGCTAGCTCTCTCGATAGATGCGTAGCAACAGAGAGCCCCGGGAGCTGAGATACGAAAATATCCATAGTTTCTGTGGGTCGTGACTGCCAGTTAGGTGAGATTGTGCGGGGCGACTGTCGAACAGAAGGGTAGGAGTTGTCGACTGGGAAGGCGCGGTCGTCTACAATCAGCTCTCACCTTCACCTCCGCTTCCGGATTTCAGCATGACGCGCGCTCACCACTAATGACGGCTATGGACGGCTTCTTGCTGAGCTCCAGTGTCATCTTGATAGAAGGCAGGCGCGACCTCGCCCGCTTTCACTGCTCGGAGATGTGAGCTTTTCGCTCTCCGCCCCTTCCGCCCCTTCTTTCCACCTGCGAACACTTGAGTTTTCTGGAAGGTCATTCAGGTTTTGATCATGGTCAGTATACTCATCGGTTTCGCTAAAGAGATTCGTATCACGATAGCGCTGAGATGTCGCATCACGGAGACGGAAGGAGGGTGTCATGTTACCAGCGAAAGTTTTCGCTGTAGATCAAAAGTGCGTACAGCCGTAAAATGTCGATATTGTAACACTCGGAACTTGATAGAACCCAGAGACGAGACGAGGAAACTGCGAAGAATAACAGTGATCAAATGTGCCGTCCACGAAGCGCCGGTAGTCAAAATGAGCGGTATTATATACCAACGATGGAGTCTCGTCTCTCTAAAAACGTGAAGTTCATAGTTGAAAGTCGCAGAACGTCATCTCATTGTCAGAGGGCAATCCTCATGATATGTCTGAAGTCCGCGGCGAAGCGAAGTGTCCACAAACGGCTAGCGCCAGCTGACCCGTTCAACACTCGCGACCTCGGGACAGTCACGGGCGAACGACCATCATTGCACCAACAACGACAAGTTCTGCCCCAGGCTTACGCGTATCGACGTTTTGGAAAGAGCGCAGGTCAAGAGATGGTACTTGGCGACTGCTGCATCGCATTGTGATCTGAGAGATCGTTGCCAAGGGAAGTGCTCTTCCGAGTTTCGGCTGAGTTTGAGTACCGTTTCACCTCACTCCAACCGCTCTGCATCACGGTGCTTATACGGCACTAAAGTATCTTAACGAGTCTCCTCACCAAGGGAGAAGGATGAATGTGAGAGCAGGTTGGATGCCTTCTTGGACGATACCGAAGTCTGCTCACGTTGACTAGCACGGAAGGCAATCCTACATAATCGAAACCAAGCCGATACTACATATTCCATTGCATCATCGTCATACCCCATAAGGATTTGGGTACAGAAGCCGCGCGTCTCCCGTTCTTTGGGAAAGCATCGACATCTCTCCGACATTTTTGACACACTTCAACACACCTCATCCCCGGCCGTGCCCTTCCCGCAGAACCAGACCGCTCCACTCCCCGCCGTTGCTATGGAGCAGATCGTACTCCTTTCGCTAATACAGTACCAAGAAACAGGCAGGAAAGTCTAGACTCCGGTTTCAGCCTTCTCAGCGCGAGGCACAAAGTAAGGTACCAGGATGACTTTGTGATTGACAACGGCGCCTGATGACGACGACGGCGGTGTGCCTGTATGTAAGATGCGCCGTGGCAGGCAGGCTATAAGTTGGAAGTATCCTCAGGCTAGTAGACGCTTTCCTTACTTCAAGCTCACCATCAAGTCAACTTCTTCAAGTCAATCTTCTTGTTTTCCAACCCTTCTATACATTCACTCTTTGTCGCCGGGCGACTTTACCACGTTTACAACTACCATCTACGCTTCTTCTACATCTACTCTCCGAGTTCAATAATCACCTAAACACTATTTCAAAATGAAGTTCTCCGCTGTCATCGCTACCATCATCTCCATGGCCGCTTTCGCCATGGCTGCACCTGTCGCCAACGAGGGTATGTTCTCTTGTCAAACCCAAACCCGATGTTCAGGAACAATGCCTAACAAGAAACAGCAGTTGCCGTCCGTCAGAACCATGGCATGTGTGTCAAGGGCACCACCGCCGGTGTTGAGCAGATCGAGGGCTGCTAGAAAGTTTATACCCATGAGAGGATGTAGAAGACGGAGGAGCAAGATTACCACGAGCTATGACTGGGGGAGAAGGAGTTGGAGGATACAATGGCCATCGCAGAACGGCGGTGCCGAAACGATATAGAAGCGTCCGTTCTGGTTGCGTTCAAGTAATACAAGACAATTGACAAAGCATCACGGTGTGATGGGCTTGAATCACTCTCCACGTTCCATGTTTTCTTTCTCACTCATTAGACGGAATGTCACTCGCATTCATGGTACTACGGATTTTCTGTTCTATGTGGCATTGATACAAAACGTGTGGTCTAGAACCATTAGTTCATCGGCAGCCTCGCGTGGGCCTTGCAGACAACGTTTCTGCCTGAGCAGCCTTGATAGTGAACGCCACCACAGCAAAGGAACTCAAACATTACCCCTCACTCCCAAAGTACAGACTGTGAAGAAGATGAAAAATGCGTAATTAGGTAAGTCCAACATAACCACATCGCTACATAGGTATATAAACGCTTGAACGCTTCCAAGAAAAAATGCAAGATGAAAATGCCAACAATATGTCAGTCACACACTATGCAACACCATTACTTCCTCCTAGGGGTATGCACTCTCGCTCTGCTGCTTCTTCTCCTTTTCCTTCTCCGCATTCTTCCCTGGTCTGAAAGCATCCAGACTAATCCTCCTCCTTTCTCTTTCCCTGCCCTCATCTGCACCGCTAGACTCGGCCTCGCTTTCCTTCTCCTTTTCCTTCTGCTTCTTCTTTTCTACTTCTTTGATGGCTTCTCCAGTCAATTCCTGCCTGTTCATGCGTTCGACAACGTCCTTCTTCCTCGTCCTCTTGTCACCCAACCAGATCAATAGACCGGCCGTTGCATTGCAGGCGATAGAGCAGCAGAGGATAACAGTGGTGATAGCAAAGGGACGAACCTTGTAGTAGATACCCCATGTGCACGCGCCGAGGGATATCTGGAGTAGAGAGTGGCAGTCTAGAAGTACGACGATGGCGACAAGGAAACGGAGAGGGAAGGCATAATGGGTCTCCGTCTCGTGGGGCTTGTAAAAGGAGTGCGATTTGCAGAATTTGGCTTGGTGGTGTTCGAGCTTCTCTTGCTGCTTTGGCGTCAACACGGTGAATTCCCACTGTTTCTCAGGGTCGGCTGGGTCTATAGCGCGTGGTCCAGATACGGGAGCGTGCTCGGCAGGGAGGTCATTATGATCGGTGAGGTCGGGAAGCATGTCCTTCTTACGGCGAGACCATGTGAAATGGTGGTAATGAGCAATGTAGATCATGTGGTATGTGTCGACACAGCGGAAGGGTGCTAGGCCGTCTCCTACAACAGCGAAGAGAGCAACAAGGACACTGTCGATGACGTGGACGACGTAGATCTGCTGTCCACCGACATTAGCCCATCCGATGAGGAAGAGCACCCAGGCCAAGCCGAATGCGGTGATGAGGAAGGCGTAGAGGGTGACTAGGAAGCCAAGTGCTGTGGATTGTCAGTAACAGTTAAGAGTATAGCGGTACAGATACTTACGTCTCCTGACATACATGCCGAATCCCTTGAGAGAACGCTTCATCTTGGAGCGTCTTGAGTGGAGCATGTGCCGTACGTGGTCGTTCACCTCCTTCTTGTCCTCGACGCTCCACCCAGACAAGTCAGTATCCTCAGGAAGAACAGCGAAGCGCGACTCAGTAAGCTGCGAATCTATCGTCATCATGGTGGCCGTCGTGGTCTCAGTCGCCGAGCGCTGGAATCTGGGAGCCGCCTGGGCCGCCTGAGCTTCTGCCTCCGCCTCCGCCTGAGCAGCACGAGCGGGTTCCAGTATGCGCTCGATCGCTTCCAGACTGTCGGTCTCGCTCTTCCGTCGCTTTAGGTTGTAAGTGGGCCGGCGGTTCAGCCATGGTAGGTTCGGAATGAATAGCGAGTTCTGCATGTTCGTCAAGGATGTAAGCGTCGCGACCTCAGGGTCGATGGTGTCAAGCACATCGACCATGCCTGAGGTGTAGTTGGACGACATGTCGTCTTCCGCTGCAGGAGCATGAGCGCTTGTCGTCGGCGACTTCTCCTCTTCCTTCGTGCCCCAAAAGGGTATTCTAGTCTGTATCGCGCTCTTGACCTTCCGTAGTCGACTTCTGTCCGGCTCTGGATTGTTGAGGGTACTCTGGCTCCCGTTGGCGGAGGAAAATTGTCCCAGCTCTGCCTCCTCGTCCAGCGCAGGCAAGGGCGTGCTCGCTCTTATTATAGAACCCTGTGGTTGCTGTGCGGATTGTCTTAGGGCGTTGGATGAGGGCATACGCCGTATGCCGATACTGGCTTGACGGCCGACTTGCGGTCGTCGTGGGTATTGCTGGGGTTTGGTCGGCGCGGAGCTGCTTCTTGCTCGTTGCGCGGCAAGAGTACTTGACAAAGGTCAGCATCGCACTCTCCTCATTTGCGTGCTTAGAGCATACCTGTACGTGACATGCGACGAGGGATCGGTTGCCCTGGTGGGCTTGGGGACATGTTGGCCAGCATCGATGGATGACTCTAACGAGGTAGGCGGCTCGATGACAGGTTGTTGTGTTGGTTGGTCCGCGGCTGCTCCAAAGTCCTGCGCATTCATCCCAGGTTCGGCGCTCTGAATTCCTTCCTTAACAGCATGCGTGCTGGAGTTATCGTGGGGTGCCTGAGACTGTTGTGGAGGCAGCTCGCCCGTGCCGGAGCCTGAAGATGTCGCGCCGGCACCTCTGGCGCGCGCGATACGCGTCTTCAACCTCTGTAAATCCATAGCGGCCACGGAATTGAGGATGGGGAACGCAAACCCCAGGGCAATTCCCGATAAACATGTCTTTATGACTTGGAAACGGCCGTGGCCCAATGCAGTCTGGCGGCTGAGGATTGGCTTTTACAAGCCTGGAATTTTGTCTTGGGGGACGTCATATTGCGCCGTAACCACTACCACCCCCTTTCCCCCAAGACGACTCACTCGCATCGCACGCGCGACTAACGCTCGCGGGGACGGTCCACTAACGCCAGTCAGTGTTTGGACTACAGAGGTTAACGAGCGATCGTAAGGATCTCACGAAACGTACAGCATGTAGGGCGAGGCCGTTAGGGAGACATGCTCCAGGGAGCGACCTCGACTCCCCAGATCTGAAACTCCGGTTGGCACCCTTGCAATGATCGTTTTCGCTTACGGAAAACCGGATCCTGGGTGTCACATGCATACTGACGCTATGTCTCGCGAGTCGTGTACGTGTTCTGGCCGTAGCAACTACGAAAAATATATTATTTTCGAGCATTGATATCGTTCTCATACTCAACTGTATTGATCTAAGAGGTTGCGGGATGATGCAGGGTCCTTTTAGTCGCACTGGTAGCTAGCGGCGGCGGGTACCTGACTTAGCGTCTCTTCACGTTCCGCCTAGTACTGCTGGTTTGACGCTTATCGTCTCATCTCAAGTCGATATGGTTGGTATACCGACATTCTGCTCGGGGCCTTGAACACGCCTGCAGCATGATTGTGAAGATCATACACTGTCTGCCAGTCGAGAACTTTGGTTGAGGTGTTGCTTTTTCACATTCCTTCTAACATCTATGACGACATCCGTCCCTCCATGGACCTCAAAGACCGAGAGGGGTCGATCACCACCCTAAGCGCTTATGAATTGTCTTCGAGGTATGTGTCCAAATGATACAACAACGGTCCGTGTTCCTCCTTCAACGCAGCCGTCGCTAGCTCACTCAAGAACCGTTTGGGCAAATCATCGCACTGAAGTAAACCATGGCGTCCGAGACCGCACCAACTATGAACAAGTAGCTCCCTCATTAGATCCCCAGCTACTGTACCTTCGTAGATAATCTTTATACACTCTGGGCCAGGGTTTGTGTGAACAACGTACCCATAAGATTCACGGAAGGAGATCTGCTCATACAGTGCCTGAGTTGCCAGATTACGAGTGTGTAGATCGAGCAGCAATTCAGCTATCACGTATACGTGACATATACGTTCAAGAACGCTCGAGTCATCCTTGAGCGTGATGCGATTCGTATAGACGGCTTCCAAATAGTGCTCAACATCTTCTGATCTCAGCTCAGGGTTTAGATCGTAAAGATTGATAGTCTTCGCGTCAGAGTTGTTCCATCTGCCACTAAGCGCGTTGGCGAAGAACTTGGATCGCGACGTTATGATGGACTGGTGAACAAACAGTTCTGAACGCTGAGACTCAGGCCCAACGAGAACTTTGATGAGAGGCGAGGAAATGAATCTGGGATGCTGTCAGTAGTGGTATAAATCGAATGGCTGTTAGGACTTAGACCCGTCGACACCTAGTCTTAGTACTTTGACGGGTGTGTCTGAAGTTATGGGTGAAGATGTGTCTGAAGATGTGTCTGAAGCTCTCTGTGATTCCGTTGACATGGTGTTCGTAGAAAGGCAGCAAGGTTGTTAAGTCAAGTAGAGAGCTCTTTCGTAAGAAAAAGAGGAAGATGAGAACAATTATCGGTATTAGAGTTGGATAGCGTTTTCTTTGTGAGATCTAGCTTGACAAACTCTTCGATCCTGTCACTAATCACTCGGCGGCTTGATCACCTGAGGTACGATCTCAACCCAATAACCCTGATAGCCGTTAGTATGCCGTATCTCTCATGCATTTGCTTCCACTAGTTGGCGTTCACTTACATCCGGATCCTTCACGAAAGCGAGCTGTTTGAAGACATGCTTGTAGCCGTCTTGTACTGTTCCGTGCTTTCCTTCCACAGCCTCCGCGGGTAAACCCATCTGCTCTTCTTTCGCCTCATCCAGCGGCTTGATGACTTCGTAGCCAAAGCTTTTGATCCTTTCCAGTGCTTCAGCGACGTCGGGTACTGTGAATCCAATGTGACCGAAGCCGATTCCCGCCGAATTAGAATAGTCATTGCCAGAAGTATACGGCGTAGACGCGTCTGCGGGGATGTGGTACAGCTCTAGTAACCCCTTTGAGGTACCGAGGGTGGACATACCTGTAAACATTTTAGTATTCTGTCGGAGTTATGGGTAAATGTGTGTACCTACCACTATCTCGTGGTCCTAGGTAGTAAATGGTAAATGGACCAGCATTGAAGATGAACACAACGTGCATGCCCAAACAGTCACAATAGAACTTCAAACTCTTTTCTGGGTCTTTGATACGCGTCATGAGATGATTGAGGCGGTACTCGGCAGTTGATGGTGAGCTTGGCCGTGGAGGAGGAACGATGTGCTTGCCGACCTCGTATGGTCCTCGTGGATAGTTTTCGCTGGAAGACGCCATGACTGTGTTGTTGAACTATACCCTCTTCCACAGCTTGCGTCTCTTGAGCAACCTCTCCGACATTCATAACTACTTATATGTCATTATAGTTTACTAGTCTCAGTAGCCACATGTGGGGCATGTGGGGTAAGTTGGCGGCCTTGAAATCCTAAGAACAGGTGCTGGTTGGATACTGTGCTTCTTCTCTGGATGCTGCACACTTTACATGCAGCGCGCCTAGAGAAGATGTTGATTTGCTTATTGGGAAAAGGGTGGCGCTTTCAGCTACACCCAAAGTACGCGTCACACTAGATAGTGGCGTTGATGAAAAGGAAGAACACACAGATGTGATTGGGAATACTTTCGGCTGAGCATTCTTCTCGATAAGTTTATCATCCCAGAATGATATCTCGGCGACTACCGGGAAAGCACAGGCGAGGATGTAGCTCAGTCCTTTCGCCGGAATCTACGCTGCGGACAGACATGACCCCTATGCGCTCCGTCATTCCGTCTCTAGTACGCGTAACCAGAACGTAATCTTTGCATATGACTATGCCCGCGAATAGGTGATTGCAGAGCGAGTAATGTAACTCATCGTCGACATCACTCGTGACATCCAATAGCCATTCATGATCCTCAAAACTGCGCTCGCCAGAGCCGGAGATCATCTCAATAGTACCGCGTGCTGCGTAAATTGCGTCTTTGTATGTGCTGGTCGGACGATCAAAGATGTGTGAATGACGCCGCCGTTTCGTTGGGATGTAGGCGAATCGAAGGTAGAGAACCTCAGCAACTATGCGCAACTGATAAGTGTAATCGAGCGCAAGATTACCGTCATTCTCGAAAGCCATCTTCACCATTTCTTCCGTCAGAGGTTCATCTGTTCCATCAAACTTCACTACATGGAGTTCCACTGGCAGTATATTGTCCCAGGTCAATGGGGATGTGCATGGCCACAAAACAGGAGCGATCCAGCCCGCCCAGGACCAGCTAGGAAAGCCTTCTCGCCGGGTAATTTTCGTGGATGTTTCCGGATTGACGACCCAGCATAGTTCCCGGCAAAACGCAGCATTGAGCTGATGTTTCACATCATCACATTGAACCCCGTGAGCCCAAAGATGAGACCACATCCTAGACCTGGATTGGATCTCGGTACAGGCAGTCATGGTATACGGTATGCCCCAATACTGATAACACGGGTTGTCTTGCGTAGAGAACGACTGGAAGAGGCCACTCATTGCGTTTAGAACGTCCGATTGATAGCTCAATGCTCGTTTTGTATAGCGTACGATATGCTCGTGGAAAGGATCGTCCCAAGTGCTTCGTATATAGGCACTGCTCCGCCCGCTAAACAACTCTGCTGAGCCAGATGAGTTTTCCGTGGTGACTGATTCGAAACAGCTCATTGTGTTGCACTCGAAGACAACCTGCTCCTCAGTGAAGATGAGCTGCAGGCGTGAGTAAAACTCCTCTTGATACGTCCTGCACGGTAAGAGTTAATGGTCAGTACTGATGAACACGTATAGACAAGGTAACTCACCAAGCTCTTTGGGACCAAGGTGATTCGCGAATGGGTGTTTTGAAGTCGTCTAGCCCTGCTACCCATGTCGTGCCATTCAATTGAATGGAAGGAGGCGTAGTCCGACTTCGACCACCAACACCGGGTAGTCCATGATCGGAGTGGTCACCAGCTGCAGCAACGATGGTCACTGCTGCCGCCGAATAGATCATGGCCATCATAGATAGCTGGCTTTGTAGCTGATGCGGATCCGACTGCTGGTCGAAACAATATCTTGGCGGTCATAGTCAGCATATGTCCAACATGTTCTTCTGACGTGAATCCTACGCACTTATCGCACCACAGATATCGGTAGCCAAGCTTAAGGGTGACCTTCATTGCATCCTTGATCGTTTCTGGCAGATTCAACAAGCTCTCCGTAGCAGTGCCACAGCCAAGGACACTGTCATGTTTATTGGAAACTGATGGTTTACCCCAAACGTAGCTAAGTGCAACATACTCCGCACCTGGAAGTGCCACGATTATCTTGGATGCCCTGCAGTCGATGACTTTGAGTGCAGTTCTTCCTGGAGCCCATAGCTGAGAAGTCTTGCCTTGATGGGAACATGCATCTCCATGGTAGGTCTTACAGTGCGTAATCCACTTACGTAGCAAAGGATAGTCAATGAGGTTCTTCGGTAGTGTACGGAATCGCAGGTTCTCATGTCCGGACTCTGGGAGAATGAAGCGGGAGACAGTGGAATCCTCTGATTGGACGTAGTAGTTCCGGAACGAGAAATCGCGAGGTCCTCCAACTGTTGAAGGTCCTTGATAGTCCAAGAGCCGAAAACGGGCTGATGTCCTAACGGTAGATGACGAACACTTTCCGTGTATTATAGCAGCAAAGAATAGACACAGCGGGCACTTGGAACCGTTCCTGACCACTAGCCTCTCGTTGCAGACACCAACTGGAACAGTAAGACGAGGTGCCAAGTTTTTGCATTGCATACAGAGAGTCGGAACTCTCGATTCCCTTGGAAGATCGGTATTTCGTGCAGAGGCAATGGCGTTCATGATGTTAGCGTTTCGGCAGAGGCGGCGCAATATCTATGACGTCTAGAATAGGGAGACGTGCCCTTCTTATGTCAAAAGCCCATAGCTATTCTCATGCTATCTGCTGCATGTATGCGTGGCATTGCTGCTCGAAGTGTGGTGGGGTAGGAGGCTCAGTCCCGCGCGTGGACATCAAAGAAGCCCCGAGGCAAGGCAATCAGAACGCGCTAGCAGCCGCCCCGCAAACAAGGGTCCAGCGGCAGTCCAAAGTTTCGAGAAGGAACATTTGCGCCGCCTCAACACCACCACGTTACCGTCAACATGGAGTTCCAAAGAGGAGAGCGCGTAAACTTGAACTTCGATACCGGCGCCGTCGAGAAGCTGGACCAAGAAGAACAGCATGAGCTCCCCATGCCATCATTCCCCACTTTCGTGGGCGACATCCAAGAGCGCGAATCATCACCAGCTAATCCTCCAGTCGCGCCCTCGTTCAAGCCGAATGTGAATGGATTCCCCGCGCACAAGAAACGCGTACCCAGAGTATCGGCATTCAAACAACAACGCGCCGCAAAGGAACAACAAGCTACCGCGCCACCGAAAGCGCCAGCAGTGACGCAGGATGCGCCTAAGCCGCGGAGTGCATTCGGGGTGGACAGGGACGAGGAGCGAAGGGCAATAGATGAGGAGAACAGGCAGACGCTGGCAGCCATGTCAGATGCGGAGATCGAGCAAGAGCGACAAGAGCTCATGTCAAGCCTCAATCCAGCATTGCTGCAGAAGCTGCTCATGCGGTCCAACATTGACCAAGGGAGCAACGAGCAGGACTTTGATACAGAGCCGCCAGCACTAGCAGCTACTGCTACCCCGGCGACTGACGAAGCCAAGCCAGAACCTCAGCCAAAGACCCCAAGCACGAAGAAAGTCTCCTTCGCGGCACCAGAATCCGAAAACGAAATGCCGTCACAGCCAGCATCGTCCTCGATACCCACCGCGCAACCCCCGTCAGACGACAACACCACATCGACAGCCATGCCCGATACGAACGACTCAATACACTTCCCACAACCCCCACAACCACCCGATCTCGACCCAAACGACCCCTCATTCCTAAAGAACCTCCACGAGAAATACTTTCCCACGCTACCCTACGACCCCTCCTCGCTATCATGGATGTCGCCCATCGATCCATCAGACAGAAAATCGCCCTACCACCCCTCGCAAACCGCTCTCAACCCTGCCGAACTCCGCTTCGATTTCTCGGGCAACTTGCTAGCGCCCAGCGTCGCACGATCAATACCAACCGACCTGGGCCTTCACCACCATGCCGAAGCTCCCGAGGCAGCAGGCTACACCATCCCCGAACTCGCAGTTACAGCGCGGAGTAAAGTCGCGAGTCAACGGTGCATCGCATACCAAACACTAGGTCGTATCCTATACAGACTGGGGAGAGGAGAATTCGGTGTTGAGAGCACGGAACAAACGACTGATGGGCCGGCTAAGGTAGCCAAGAACCCAGAGGTGGAGGAAGACGAGGATGGAGAGGAGTGGGTGGAAGAGGATGTTGGCAGTGCCATTGCAGGCGGACTTTGGCAGTGCGTTGAAGAAGGGCGGGTGATTGAGACGTTGACGGAAGAGGCGAATAAGGAGAGGGGTCATCTGACTGCTCGCACGTTTGCTCAGGAGGCGCTGTGGAATTGGCGTAGGGGCGGTGGGAGGAAGAGACAGGCTGTGTGAGCTTCACAATGCAAGTAAGACGACGGATGTATCACATAGATGTATGATATCACGAGAATTCCCCATATGAGTTCGAACTCATCGTTATGCATTACCCGTATTCTATTCATGCCTCATTACCGATACCAAGATGCTTGTCAGCACGACTCATCAGTATCACAGCATACGCTCAACGTAGCTCAAGTCGGCTCGCACATCGCGGGCCCACATCCGGTTGATCGGTCTGTCCAAAGCCTTCATAGTTTTTGCCCCTCTTGGGCGGAGACTCCAATCGAACCCCCTTTCTCTTTGCCGGAGGAGTAATGCTAATAGAAGAGTCTAATCAGCAACCGGTAACTTGGAAAGAGGAAGATAGGAGCAGGGGCTCAGAATAGAAGAGAGCTTACTCCTTCTCCACTCCGTCGATGACAGGCACATCCTTCAAGTCTACCGGCTCCAACGCGGGCATCTCATCGTTAGAATCGTCGTCGAAAGTAACATCCTTCATCTCAATATCCTTCTGGGTATCCTCCTCGGTCTTCTCAGGCTGGCGGCACACAGCCTCGGTATAGTCGTCCACAAGATCGGCTCTTATGTACACGACACCTGTGCTGACCTTCGGGCGGTGTGCCTCCTCCTTGTCGAGCACTACGCTCTCCTGCTCGACTTGATCTACATTCTCGTCGTTGTAGACTCTCCACTCGTCCTTGTGGAAGTCGTAGATGTAAATCCAGTAATGACCACTTCTGACGTCACC